CCATAAAGGACGAAAATCTGTGGCAGCCACAATTTTAAAGATATGATAAAACTAAAAACGCAGTACCGTAGAGAATGACCATATCTACCAGATTGCCGAATCTGAATCAGATCGGATCATAATTATAGCCAGAATGAAGAAATTCATTTTCAGTTGCTTCCCCTTCCCCACCCGGCAAACGACAACGCAACTCATTCTCCTTCTCGCTCGCACACTCTGCCGCGTTCAGTGCGCGAGCAACCCATAGTACATCTGGAATCTGGAACAAAACTACCCACAACCGGCACCTCTCTCCTACATGTGTAACAACCCTTTAGCTCCCACATTTTTGTCATAGATTTTTTTATTGAGTTGCCTTTTATTTTTCTAGGGAACTTTTACTACTTTCATGAATAAACCCTGGCTCAGCGTGTCAGTGTCAGTGTCTCGTTGGTAAACAATTTTTAATGCACATAATATTTGTTTAACTTAGTTTTAATTGAAGTGCACTATTACGCAATTCAAACAAAAAATAGTAACGAATTTCGATTAAATGAAAAAATTAACTTAACTTGAAAGTAATCTTCATAATAAATATTTTTATGTGCACTTTTTTCTTATCCTATTTAATATCAATAATGGTAAGGTATCAATAGCTTGGCTAGTCAATATTATGACGGTGTTTGTGGTTGTTTTTGTATATTAAGGAGTTTTTTATATTTTACGGTGTTTTATATTCATATCACTACTTCATGACATTTAATTGCGATTTTAGTGCGTTTACATTAAGTAATGCTTTGATTTATTTGTCAGTGTGTGTTGTGAAATGATCTAATATATTTCAGTGTGTTTGTTACGTTTTCTGTTAATTTGGTTGATTTGTGTGTGTGTTACAGGAAAAAATGTCAGCCAGACGCCAGGAGGTCCAGTTTCACCGTCGAAAAAATTGTGCAACAAATATGGAAAATAGTAGAACAGGTGAACGAATCCAAGAAGATAACGAAAATTTGCGTACCACAAGTGGTACGAAATGAACTTAATCAAAATAGACAATTGGAACGGAGACAAGGGCAAGATCTGGTAATTTCACTCTTAAAAAAAAAAAAACCGACAACGCCAACAAGTACATCGAGCATTTACATCCGCTTTGTTTCTTAGTCTCGCATTGCAGTACGAGCCACTCGCTCATCCGAAAGTGCTGATTGGTGCTATGGTCAACATATTTCCACATTTTCATGCCCTCTAATTTCTACACCAGTCAGATGGCATGTACTGCGCATCAAAAAACGTGCAAGACCTGAAGGTCTGCTCACTAGCACGAATCTAGATTAAAACCTGTTCTTGCAGACCATTCGAACATTCAATTCATGCTTCAAATTGTCATCGTACGGAGCAAGATAAATTCAATTCAAAATTTAAAATTAAAAGACAAGTGTAGCACCAAGTGGGCTCATTGCTGCCAATGTCAAACGAAGCACAAAGCTGGACGAAGTACTAAATGAGCAAAATTGATTATTTAAATATTAAAATTACACATGCACATATTGGAATTACAATCACGCTATTGTCATCAATCCTGATAAAACACCAGATGGAGATCACGTGCGTTGATTCAAAGATCCAGTTTTTGACAACGTTGCGGGGTTCATGGATTGCGCACAAATTTTTACACTCAAGAAAAGTCGAAAAAAAAATTATATCCTGTGTCTTTATATTTTTTGTGTATAGGTGCACTAATAAGGCGTCGTTTCATGTTTTGTTCAATAAAATCTATGCAGAAACGGTGGAGCTAAAATTGGTAGACCAAACCTCCGAAACTAACATTTTACTGCTAGTTTTTTTCGTCTTTTCCTTAGTTTTTATACCCGTACTCAAAAAAGAGTTAAGGGGTATATTAGATTTGTGGTAAAAGTGGATGTGTGTAACGCAGGGAAGGAAACGTTTCCGACCCCATAAAGCATATATATTCTTGATCAGCATCAATAGCCGAGTCGATATAGCCATGTCTGTCTGTCCGTCTTGTTGAGCGCCTAGATCTCAGAGACTATAAGAGCTAGGGCAACCAAATTAAGTTTCCAGACTCATGTGATATCACACTGCTACAAGTGTATTTCAAAATTTTCTTCCCGCCCCTTCCGCCTTCATAAAGAACGAAAATCTGTGGCAGGCTAATTTTTAAAGATACGATAAAACTAAAAACGCAGTATCGTAGAGAATACCCATATCTACCAGATTACCGAATCTGAATCAGATCGAATAATAATTATAGCCAGAATGAAGAAATTAATTTTCTGTTGGTTCTTCCGCCCCCTCCTGCCAAAAAGACCCACTACCTATCTCTTTCTCGCTCGCACACTCTGCCGCGTTCAGTGCGCGAACAACCCCTAGCGTAGGAGATGTAGAATATGAATGGTACTTCTAAATTCTACATGTCAGATGTAAAATATACATTGTAGCTGTAGATGTAGATAGCAGATGTAGCAAAAAAATTTAATATGCAATTTTTTTTTTAGTTTTAAAATTCTAAAAAATCATAAGCTCAAAAATGTATATACTGACTGAGTACGGGTACAAGTAGAGTCGAGTCCCCTGAAGCGACTCACACGTTCCTTCTCGTTAAAGTACAAATTTTGAAGAAAAAAAACCCCGCTCAAGGTTCGATTTTGCAAAGTAGTGTAATTTACTGAAAATGCTTTAAAATAATTATTAGATATAGGCGAAGGAGAAGTTTCTATAAAATTGCCAATAGATTTCTGCAAAATTTTTCAATCGCAAAATGCTCTCAGTGAACGTGAATTGAACGTTGGATCACCGGTAATTTGACTAAGAAACCAAATGTTGCCTGCGAAAAATAGTTTGACAGGTTAGTAACCTGGGCACTGCGAAGCAAGTGCGCAGGGGCCTTTTCCCCTAGTAAATACAATTGCGAAAAAAATAATAGCACCATCACAATACATTTTGTTCTTGATAAAAAAAAAATGCGATTAATCTTGTTATTTTAAACAATTTTAGTTTGGTTTATATTGCTTGGTATTCCCCATAAAAAAAAAAAAAAAAACAGTGATACCGCTCTTCAAATTTCTGTCTACATATTTTTTTTGGAATCCCCTGTATTTCGCGGAACTGCCTTTGCATTCTGCACGTGCGCATTAGTTTTAACTAAGAACTCATTGTTTGCAGTTGTTATCATAAAAGTTAAAAATAATAACTACAATGTGACGTGGAAAGCACTGCACTGCGGAGAAGCGCGATCTTATCAAAATTGATATTGGATGGAAATACTTACAGAGAAGTTTGTCGATTGGTAGGATGCTCCAATAAAATGATTAAAAACGCCTTAAACTATGGAGAAAAGACTGAAACACGTGGACGAAAACGATCTATGACCCCTCTTCATGTCAAAAGACTGATTCTTCAGAGCAAGAAGGATCCCTTCAAGCCTGCTACTGAGCTTAAAAAAGATCTTAAAATATATGCGACGGACCAAACAGTTCGCACATATCTTAGGTACCACTTTTAAACGCGACACATTTGCCAGGGATCATGCAAATTGGACTTTCCAAAAATGGAGAAATATTTTATGGTCAGATGGGTCCAAAGTGGTTATGTTTGGTGGAAAGGGATCTCAATCAGACGTTATACGACTAAAGAAAACTGAATACAAACCCCAGTACACCACAAAAACTATTAAGCATGGAGGGTGTAGTGTAATGGTATGGGCCTGCTTCTCCTACTATGGAGTAGGTCCAATACATTGGATATACATGCCTCCCTTTGCAGAATATGAAATGAAACACACCAGCAAGAAAGTAAAGGAATGGTTCAGGGCAAACTCTGTGAATGTTTTGGAGTGGCCTGCTCAGTCGCCTGACCTGAATCCAATCGAAAATCTGTGGTCCGACGCAAAGAAGGCCGTTGCTTCTAAGCCAAACACTATCGGATCACATTGGGAAGAAATTAAAGAGTCCTGGTCCAAAATTTCCCTAAAACGATGCCAGGACTTAGTTGATTCCATGCCAAGACGCTGCGCAGCTGTTATTGCCAATAAAGGACAATGTACTAAATATTAAATTATGCATATAGATTTAGTATTAACATTTAAAAATGGTTAACTATTGAATTCGTTACATATTGCTTATTTTTTTAAATTTTAAATCCATTTTTAAAAAGTGGTGCTATTTTTTGTTCGCCTAGTTTTATGAATTTCAAAAAAGTTCCTTAAATAACTTAAAAACTTTACAAAAAAATATGATTTTTTTGTATGCCCAGGTTTGTTAGAGTCTCCCATTTATAAAAATGTGCTTAAAGTTTGCTTAAAGCTTAAAATGCGAGTTTGGCAATTATTTAAAAATTGCGTGTGGTGGTGGTGCTATTATTTTTTTCACAGCTGTATATATGTATATACATTTTATATAAGTAAGTGCCTTATTGTGTAAAATGTTGCATAAGTTTTAAACTACTTTCCATTAATTAAGTTAAATGCCTTTTGCAACTAATTTGTCTGATTCTGGACAAAGAATGAATAATATCGTGCATAGGAACTGCATTAAAAATTAATGTTTAAATGGTATCCACTTCTAACATATTATGGAACAATATAGACTACTACAGTTATTGCTACTTTAACATTGCTTATATTAAAATAAATTAATCGAAAATGCATTCTTATAAATATTTATTATGAATTAATTTAATTTAATTTATTAATTTGAAGTTAAGTTTATTTCCTCATTTAATCGAAATTTATTAATATTATTTTTGTACATATTGCGTAAAATTTTCATAGTTAAAAATAAAACTGCGTACTAAAAATTTCGTTATCAATTCCATTTGAATTATATTTTTAAACTAATAATGCAAACGGATTGAAAACGTAGTCCGAACATTATCGTCTCTGGAAATGATTAATTTTAATACGAATAGTAGTAACAGAATAGTATAAGTAACAATAGGAATAGTACATCGAATATAAAATATAAAGACGTAAATGGCCATATTAAAATATATAGATATAGTCTCACCTGGCCCATAAAATCGTTTTCCTTTGCTAACGTCGTAAACATTTCCATTAACTGCCACCAAAACTCGACCATCAAGTTGATTGCCATCGAACTGTCGTAGTTCTTTTACAGTTAAATCGCGTCGTATTTTGGGAAGTTCTGGTACAGTTGGTTTCTGAACACTGGAACTTGGTACTTCGGTGCGATCACGCACAATTTTGTATAAAAGAAAGACTATTACTGCTAAAAGGGCTAGGTTCATCGGACTATACAAAATTTCACGTAGTATATTTCCTACAAACGAGGACTCGTCCAATGCTTCATGGCTAACAATATTTCCAGTTGTTCCAAGGTTTTCTTTAGAGTCCATATTCGCTGCTTTTTTACCATGTAAATTCACTACGGCCATACTATATTATAAGAAAATACACTCGTTAGTATGTTTTGATTATTTTCACTTCATACTCATATTTATACAGGGTGCATTATTAATGTCGGTATGGCCAAAAAAAAATGTGCCAACTCATTATATGTTGGTAAATTTCAAAGGTATTCATGTTTAAATGCCGAAATAATAAATGGCGCACCTTGTATTTCCAAATATATTTATAAATATATATATATGTACATTTACATAAATATGTATGTACATTAGGTTGGGCCAAAAAATTCAAACGGGACACCCCCTAGTTTTCTAGTTTTGTTACCTTGGATTTAATAGTAATTTACATGTTTTCATTTTTATTTTTATTTTTTATTTTTAAGAGGTTGCTACCGAATTTTACAAAAAATTTTAATCAAGAAAATTCAAACAAAATTTTTTTGCTGAATGAGTTGGATAATTGGTGAAATCTATTGCATATATATTGATCCCAATTAATATCATCATTAATCAGTTATTAGCAGTAAAAAACCTGCTCAATTTGTTGCGAACTAGTTAACTAAATATATCAACCTCAGCTGAACTTCTTGAGTTTCATTAATCGTTAATTTTTTAACAATAACTTACAAAAAATATATGAAATAGTTTCTAAGTTTCAATATTATTTGAAAAAGCCGACGAACTAAATTTTTTTTAATGTATATTTAACCAAAAAAGTGTATTTTCTTTTCGTGGTAACATTAAACTAAAAATTAAAAAAAAAAATGTATAATTTTATTGAATAAAAAAGAATAGAATTCGGTGGTGTCCCCTTAAAAAAACAAAAAAAAAACAAAATTTTTGGTCGAATTTTGGCCCAGCCAAAATTGTGCATACATATTTTTCGCATGAGCTAAATATTTATTGTGTTAATAAAAGTTAAAAATATATCGTTAGCCGAGATTGGGCCATTTTTCTACGATTTTTATAATACATATGTAAATAGTTGAATATGTAAGGGACTTTGTGGAAGAACTTTGATCATTCTTACTGACAAAATACCGAAAAACTATCTTTTACTGCTTAAAAGGTGTCTAATTGGTTAAATTAGCGGTTTCAATAAATTTAGAAAATAATATTGGGATGAACATACATATATGTATACATGGTAATGTGTGCTTTTTTTACTCTAAATTTTTGGATTCGGTGGACGTTTCTATAGAAATGCCCATTTACAAAACAGCCGGTTGAAGTCTTAAAGTTGAAGCCTTAGATCCAAATTTCTACACAAGTCGGAATATGGTACAAAAACTAAGGCTGTAATAAGTAAAGAGCAAGTCTGTGAGCATCGAACTCTCATGACTCAATGCAAAGATCAGGAACAATAATGGTTTTTAAGTGAGATAATTCAGAATTCAGAGAGTTAAAGGAATGCTATAATGCTCCATATTTAAAGAGACTGAAATTGATGACAAAACCAGCACTGAACTATACTCAGACCGGGGCTATTGGTTGCTCGGAAATTCGTATCGCAATTCATACAATTATATTGTATACATATTAGGGCGGTTCTTATTTTCGAAATTTCTGAATTTCAAAAGTCTCAGGGTCTTAAAATGTTCCTTTTGTTATGAAACAATAAAATAAAAAGTTTAAGCCCGATTGGAATTCGTTTAGAGGTGCAGACTTGAGGTCAAAGTTTAAAAAAATACGATATTTTGACAATGTTTGTATGGAAGCTATACCTTATATCGCTCTGATCGGACTGATTTTTTTATATGATTTAAAATATGAGAATATAACTCTTCTCCAAAAATGTAAACTTAATTGGTTAATATTTAATTTTTAAATTTTTTCTTCCGCTTGGTCAATATTTTTAAGACCCTGAGACCTTTAAAATTCAGAAATTTCGAAAATAAGAACCGCCCTAATACATATATTGCATTGCATATGCCCTATGCTCTTTTTTTAACGGTCCAACTATTTCTCACGGGTACACAAAAAACGGTCATCTTTGATTAGTAAGCCTTCTTTGCCGTTTACACTTTTGAGTTTAAGCTCCTGTAAAATCCTTAGAGCTAAGCCAATCCTTGTGATTTTTTTATACCCGCACTCAAAAAGGGGTAAGGGGTATATTAGATTTGTGATAAAAGTGGATGTGTGTAACGCAGAGAAGGAAACGTTTCCGACCCCATAAAGTATATATATTCTTGATCAGCATCAATAGCCGAGTCGATAGAGCCATGTCTGTCTGTCCGTCTGGTTTGTCGCCTGGATCTCAGAGACTATAAAAGCTAGAGCCGCCAAATTTTGTTTCCAGACTCATGTGATATCCACTGCTACAAGTGCATTTCAAAATTTCGCCCCGCCCCCTTCCGCCTCCACAAAGGACGAAAATCTGTGGCAGGCACAATTTTAAAAATACGATAAAATGGAAGATTGCCGAATCTGAATCAGATCGGATCATAATTATAGCCAGAATGGAGAAATAATTTTCAGTTGCTTCCCCCGCCTACTTTAGCAAGAGACCCGTTACTCATTTTCTTTCTCGCTCGCTCACTCTGCCTCGTTATGTACGCGAGCGCCCTCTAGCGGTTAGATGTAGAATCTACATAGTATATGTAGATGTAGATAACTTATGTAGCAAAAAATGTAACAAGTAAACATTTTTTTTAATTCTAAAGTTCTAAAAAATCAGAAGCTTAAAAATGTATATACTGACTGAGTACGGGTATAAGTAGAGTCGCGTCCCGAGAAGACACTCACACGAGAAGGAGTTCTCGTTTTTTTTTTGTATATATTATTTAATTGTATAGAAATGAAACCAAACAATAATTATAATTAAAAGAAATTATCTTCCCTATGGCGGAAATTTCGGTTTTTTTTTGCATTAACCTTCCCGGTAAAGCTAGAAAGTTGAAGCTTCGCATATGGGCTGCTCATATTATTAATTTTCTGACCGAAATCAACGTTTTTAATTTTTTAATAGTTTAATAATGATAATAGTTAAATGGTTATAATTATTTATTATTGTTACTTAACGGCATCACAACGTGCCGTAACCGGCCCAAGTGTGTCGGGTTCCTGGCGATCCCGACAACCGCCTCAACCTAACCTAACCTAACCTACTTAACAAATAAAATGTATCCACAGGATAATTTTATGGCAAGAATTTTCATTACTTATTTTCATGTTTTTTTTTCAGATATAATTCTCTTTTTTTTACATACATAGCTTAAATATCTTACAACTTTTTGCAATAAACTTAATCATTCTGAACAGCTTTTAAATACAGCTATAAATTAAAACAGAATTTTTTGTAGGTGTAGCTTACCGTCTGGGAAATATTATCCAATGATAATGATCATAATCAAATATCGACCGTCTGAATATATTAAATTAATTCGAAATTGCGCAAATATGCGCTTAAGTTGTTAACTCGGTTTAAATATACATACAATAACACACACTATAACATAAGCAAAATGACCAACCCAGCGCAATCTTACTACTTCTACTCAAACAAAGATTACCATTTTGAGGTTAGGCTAGAAATAAAACAACTGCCAATAAAAGCGTTAAAATCAGAACCAAACAAAACAACATCTAACTAACGCATTCTAAACTACATTCTTAATACCTTGATGTAAACTATCCATATAAAATATTGTTATTTGGTTGCTTTAAATGGAGCTGGGGGACCTTCAAACGTAGACAATATTTACAGCCACAATAAAACAGAGAAAATTAAAATTTTGATAGGCTCAAACAGCCGACTTTAAAGGGCTACCAAAAAGCCAGGGATGGCTAAAAAAATATTTTTTTTTTGTATTTTTATGCAGAACGGACATTTATTTAAAGGGAGTATAAATAAAATGATGATAATATTACAACTTAATTTTGGGGTTAATGCCAAAAAAAAAAGGCACTTCCGCCCAATGTGCGGCGGCTGGAACCCGGTTAACTTCCAACCGCCGGTTGGAAAGCAAAAGGCAACCCTGATCAAGTAGAAAAGGTGAGTTTGCTTGCGCCATGCCGAAGATCACTTTTCAGCAAGACGGGGATCCGAAAAACACGGCTAAAATCGTCATAAATTGGGTCAATAATGAGAGGTTTCACTTAATGCAGTGGCCTACCCAAATCTCAGATCTACATCCAATTGAAAATATATAGGCTCTGCTTAAAAAATATTGGAAAAGTATGAATCTGCACCGGGATTGGATGAGCTTCAGGACCGCGTGCAAACTAAGTCGCGCATGATACCTGTCGGATACGTACCACATTTAGTCGAGAGTATGCCCAAATGTATTCAGCGTGTGATAAAAGCTTAGGGCGTTTGCCCAAAACATTTATAAAAAGTTATGAATCTAACCAATTGCAAACGTGCAGTGGATAAATTGTGGATACATTGACTTTTTTTTGAAATAGCTAAAAACTGTTAGTAAATATGATTTCTTTAAATTATATTTAAACCACAAGGATTGACTCGGTTTTAAGGATTTTCCAGGCGCTTAAACTCAAAAGTGATGAACATGCATCAATGCATGCTCGCCACTGTATGTAAGTTAACGAGTGCTAACCAATTGTACACTGGGCGGAGGAATATCTGCCAAGTTTGCCTTTTTCAGGCGTGGGATCGGACGATCGTGGGCGATCCCCCCCTAAAATTTGCGTGGATGTCAGCATTTTCTATACTGAGCTGCGCCGGCGTCGCGACCAACAGCAGAGGGCTCGTGGTCGCCGATCTGAGTTAGGATAGTTTAGTTTTTATTTGATTCGTCGAGCTGCAAGAACGTATTCGTCTTTCATTGCCTCATTAATTACTCAAACTATTGAACAAAAACAATATTACCATCTATTGAATAAAGAATACGATGAATATAATATCCCGTCGTCTAATACTTAATCAAGTTTACTTGTATATTCCTAAACAAGACAGAGAGCTGAGATTGCAAAGCCATGTCCATCTGTTTTTTTTGGGCCTGTGAGGAGTTACATATATGTAGATACATACAGTGATACAGTGAAAAAATAATAGAAACGACAATT